AGCAACAGGTATGTAAACTATAATCTATATTGGAAAAGCACATGCTACAGACTCTTTATATACAGACACATCTGCTGTCAACACACTGTTTCCATTCCAAGTATGATCTTTTTGTGCTTTCTTACTTGTATTAGGAGTTGTTGAACTGGACCATGTACTTCAAGTGCTTCTGACAACCAGTATGTTTGTTGGAGGGTTCTTTGGATTTCTCCTTGATAACACAATACCCGGTGAGTTCTGCTAATAATCTGCTTTAATAGCTATGCCTATTCCTAATACACACAGATGAAGACATTTACTGATATTCAAACCAAAAATTTTCAATTTAGAGTATTAATCCTTTTACCCAAAGGCATCATTTTAACCAAAGACTTAAACTACTTCAGTCTGTGTGCATTGAATTGATTTAATACACGAGTTTCACAATTTGAGTTGAATTACTGAAATAAATGAACTTTTCCATGACCTTCTAATTTATTGAGATGCACCTGTATATATTTCTGTCAGGACCACTATTGTCAAAGATGATTGACAATTAGCATACAGTTTGGATTGGCGGTATGGTTCTGTTCTGGGCATGAACTCCCTGCGCCTCCATACAGCCTAGCATGGAGGAGAGCAGGGAGAGCAGCAATAACCCCCCAGGGTAAACAGAACCAACATAAATGTATTGCAGATATATGTTCAAAAGTTCAATCATTTTATGTACACATTTTAGAATTAGTCTGATTCAAGAAGAATCAGAAGGCTGAATCCTGACTGACAGAGGAGGAGCTAGGGATGGAGGAGGGTAATTAGCTATTGAGCAATGCGAAAACTGCTGATAATACTGAGGGACCTTATATATGAATGCTTAGATAGGTGTCGTATTCCCATAGGTAGATGGGGATCAGCTGAAGGTCAGCTGATGCGAGCTTGACTAACGTGACCTGCCAGAACTAACGCCACGCTAGATTTTTGAAATTCACGCAATAAATCTAATGATGTCATTGCAGATTTTTTTATTAGACAAGCTTAAAGGAACACGCAGTTTATGGACAATAAATCTGTTAACAGCTCTGAGGAGATCGTTAAAACCCACCTGATGGAGACATGCTGAAGTATTATCTGTTATTAAAGGGTCCTCAGAGGCTCCAAAACCCAGATAATGAGCCCATGAAATAACTTCTGTTGCAGACAGTGTTGATTGACAGTGTTGCGGTGGAAGTGACCAAAGTGTCAAAAAAGATCCAAATATAAAATGGAAGGGCACAGTTTGACCACCAACAAAATTAAGGACTTAAGAAAGCTATTTGAGAAAAGATTGTTGTATTAATTCAAGGGAATACAGCCATACTCCCTTTCTCATTCTCCATCCGTGTTTTAATCCACAAGATGGCGCTAAATAACAATAGTTGACACTCCTCTAGTCAACTCCGTTTGGAGCTACATTTTTCTCTAAAGACTAGTCCATTGTCAATGATCTGCAAAATTCACACCTTTGCAAATAGATTAACCACCATTGAAACTCTGTGGTTAATTCAAAACATTTTATATCACTTTCTAAACTTTTAAGACAGCACATTCTCCCTTTGAATCAATTGAACACAGATGCATGCTGTAAGCGCTTGCTACAAAACTAAGACACCTAACTTGTCTAACTGTGAAAATCAAGCCTCGGTGCATCAGCAGCAGATGTTTCTCTGCATTCCGACTGAAGGCGTTGCTGTTACAAATGCTTTCATAAGTAAAACAGTGTAAAACACACCCAAGGTGCATATGAGTTGATTTAGCGTTATGGAGCTTGGAGTGGAAAGCAGTGGTTGGTGGAAAACTGTGGTAGGTCTGCTAAGTGCAATATTATATATTGCATTTGAAAATCCTGGTGTGTCCTGAATAAGAATCTGTGAAATATTGAGCTGAACATGCATATGCCTTTACATAAATAAAGGTCTCTTTCTGCAGATGTGTAAAAACTCGAAAAGAACTTGACATTATGTAAAGGTCAACATTCACTGAAGATTTTTTAGGCCTGAATGCACACTTTTTCTTATCAAGATGAACAAATCAATTAAATATGATTGTCAATCAATGCTGGTGTTTTAATGCAGTAAAATAATAGTAAAATTTACTGTCATGCATTTTAAATATATAATTTTTAATCTGTATATCTGTTTATTGAACAATAAAATCAATAACATTACCCTGTGTGGCGACCTGCATCTAATTTATTAATTTCTGTCAATTATTCTCTTATGCATCTGTTATATAGGCTTACATATCTCTTATGCATTGACGAATATGTTTTGTTTTTCTTTAAACTGGTTTTCATAATGACGTCTATCTCTTCACAGTCAGCTAAAAGGGAAAAGAAATGAAAACTGCTCTTTTTTTGTTCATCTTTGATCCCGCTGAGTGCATGATTCTTGGCACCTGTATATCAGTTTCCACTGAGGACAGAATCCTGGGGAAGCCATCTGCTGTAATCTCTCCATCCTCAGGCTTCTGGTCTGAGGTTCCTCCCTTTCCCCAAATCACTAATAAATGAGCGTTTGTGATTAGGGTTGGTGAAGCTGACCGTCCTAGCCACAACAGAGCTGACATACTCAGGCGTGACCGTCAAACTATTACCCATCTGCTCCTTATAATCAGCCCGCTGATCACGCTAATCACTATCCTCAAAGGGAGAAAATATATATTCCAAGAAAGACTAAAGCATTTTCAAGAGCGTGACATTTTTCCACATTAAAAGCATCTTGTTATTGCAAAAATAATAATATTTTAATAATATTTTAAAATTGACAATAAATTTGGTTTTAAAAAGCACTTTAGCAATGATATAATTAATTGCATATTTTACTTTAAAAAAAAAATTGGTTCTTGCCAATGCAAATGTCACAGCTAAAATCCTGCTGGTTCTGATTGGTTGCTAGTCGGTGGCCTACTGGTCCAAGTCAACTAAACCTACTTTATTCTATTACTTTCTACTACTATTTAATCTTACTTTAAAGGCCAGGGTGAGAAATGTGTTCTTTCATTATTTGTCATATTTACAGTATAAATATGATTGCAAAACGTTTTTTTTTTGTTTTTTTTTACTTTAGGCAGATCAAGTTGAACTGAATACACTGATACAGCAAGAATCTTCTTTTTTTTACTGTTATTTTGCTTGGGGTTATTATTGCATATGATCACATATTGCACTGGGTTAAAGAAATATAAACACTTTTCTAAAGCAAATTGCAAATACAGTATGTATCACATAATAGGCTACATATTCATGTATTTTCACATTATATCACTTTTGTTTATTATAACACTAGCATCATGATAGCATATTGTTATATTGTAGAATTCCTGACAGGTTGTACCCCTCATATTGTATTTTGGAGAAAATATTGATCATTTTTAAAATGATTATTTATAAATATCATTTGTAATTGTAGGTTCAATTAATTCAGTGTGTTACTATCTGTTTCTTTGTAAGTGTTCATGAAATTTACTAGCAATTTCTGAGTGAAAATTACTTCTACACCATTTTTGTTCAGTGTAATTTTGCATAGAAATGAAAGGTTTCTTCACTACTAACCTTTGTGGGAATGAAACGTTCGATTCTGCAGATGATGCCTGAGAACTGCAGCATATTGTTTCCTCGCTTCCGATATTCAGAAGCATCTGGGGCTTGTGATGGTGATCCCTGTGGAGAAGATGATTCTAGTAAAGTCTGCTGGACATCCTGGTCTCCTCGCTTTGGCCTCAAGGCTGTGTCCCAGGAGTGGCGGCTCTGATGAGAAAGGCCCCAGTCTGGATCCCTCTGAAGCAGACCTGGGACACAAGCACTCAATGTGGGCTTATAATCCTGTTTATCATCTCAAGCCAAAAAAACATTCTTCATCTACCGCTTCCAGTGGAACCAGTTTTATGTCCACTCCCTTGCGTGGATAGGAAAGTATTGATGAACAGAAAGGAAAAGGTCACGAAGACAACAGGGTGTAGAAAGACCAAAAACACATGTATTTGAGAGTTGTCCAAATTGTTCATCCTTTAAAAAGTGTCAGGATGGAGAAGGCATGTCTTGTGCTGATATGCAGCTGTCACAAAGTGAACACATTGTGAACATATCAGTTGAGGTGAAGGCTGAGGTTAAGTTGAAACTGAAACCATTTGGAAAGTGTTTGGAGGCATGTACTCTCCTGATTTTAGTAGCTATGAATGTCGCTCAAATCAATGTGTGCATGGGCTCACCCACAAAGGGAAGATAACAGGTAAAACAGTCATATTTTTAAACTATATTTAACATTCATTAAAATCAATACCCCTTGATTCCAGTGAGAATGATTGATCAGATTTATTATTTGAAACTCTTGGTCACACTTTATTTTAAGGTCCAATTCTCTCTATTAACAAACCATTAACTATGACTTTTGCCTCTATAAACTCCTAAATTGCTTGTTATTAATAGTAAGGTAGTTGTTTAGTTTAAGTATTTGGTCAGAATAGGGATGTGGAATATGGTCATGCAGAATATGTGCTTTATAATTACTAATAAACAGCCAATATGTTAATAGGCATGCTAATAAGCAACTAGTTAATAGTGAGAATTGGTCCCTATACTAAAGTGTTACTAAAAGTTTATATTTATAATTTTTCATCAAAAGCCCTCTTATTTTTAACCCCTCCCTGTAATAATGTTTAGCAAATTTTATATAAATATATATATTCCCAAAAAATCCAATACTAGGACTAGAAATCACCAGGGTTTCTGCAATATAGCATTATCATGGAAAATGTGTTTCATTATGAGCTTCGGTCATAAAGAGACAATTTTTCACTATTCAATCAATTTCTGATGAATACAATTGATTCCTTCATAATTTTCTTGTCCAGCTTCACTCAGAAATATGTCTTATTACATATGACACACACATGCAACACCATTCAAAAGTTTTTCTGTCAGGACCACTATCGTCAAAGATGATTGACAATTAGCATACAGTTTGGTTTGGCGGTATGGTTCTGTTCTGGGCAAGAACTCCCTGCGCATAGAGCAGGGAGAGCAGCGATAACCCCCCAGTGTAAACAGAACCGACATAAATGTATTGCAGATATCGTTAAAGTTCAATAATTTTATGTACACATTTTAGAATTAGTCTGATTCAAGAAGAATCAGAAGGCTGAATCCTGACTGACAGAGGAGGAGCTGGGGATGGAGGAGGTTAATTAGCTATTGAGCAATGCGAAAAACTGCTAATACTGAGGGACCCT